ATTTGTATATACATGTTCAGTTGGGGATATTCGTATATATCTTAAAAGATAGATCGATAGATAGAGAGAGAGAGCGATGAATAGATTTATGCGCATGTGTATGTATGTGTGTGTGTGTGTTTGTGTGTTTGCGTGTCTATCATCCTTATCCTCAGACTGTGACATGACGCTGCAAAGACACAGGCTTTCCCGGCCTTTTCGTGTTCTTCCGCTCATGCAACCTCGCTTCCAATGCCGATCCATGAATCACGGCTGATACGCATCTTTGTCTGCTACTTGTTTGTCACCTCTCGCGCTGTCTCCTACACACATGGCTTACTCACTGTCTTTTTCTTTTCTTTTCTTTTAATGCACTCAACTATATCTTCCTCTCTGGTCTCTTCTAGCCTCTGACCCGTTGTTTCCTTCCTAATCCCAATGCCTAATGTTTGTTCCCAGCGCCAGTCTTGCTATTCCATTCTGAGGACGTCCTCGTTTTCCCTGAAGTGAGTTGGTCGTAGTCCAGGTGTCTGTCCCGTATGCCATGAGTCGACCGGCCGCCCGCCCGCAGTCGACTCGGTTGTGAATGAGCATGGTATGCTTTGATGTCAGCATGATGCTGCAAAGTCGGGCCGGAAAAGAGACTGGCCGCCCTACCTGCATCATCCCGCATTATTCTACGAACATGTCCCCTATGTCACCTTGGATAGGGGATCAACCTGACTATGAGAAAAATGCATTGGTTGAAACAGCTTTCTCGTACACATAATGAAAAGAAACATCCCATACGTTTCCTATGATGTAAAGCAGTCTACCCATAGCCTAATGCGTCGCATATTTCAGCCTCACAGATGTATCTGTCTTACGATCTGACATGATGCTTGTGTTACTCACTGACACCGAACTTCGTACCTTTTTCATTTGCTCAAGTTGGATTCATGTGTTAAACTTGAAATTAGTTTTTTACAGTTTATCTTGTCCAACTTAAAACATTTCATAACTCACTAATTAGATGCTCAACCTTCGTTTCCATCCCATTTCCCATTTAATATATTCTTTTTTGTAATAATCATATTAATAATATTACTTTTTAGGTGAAACTGTAAACAGTGAAATTTGGGTACGAATTATAAACTTAACCGCCTAACACCTTGAAATTATGTATTTGGTATTCATCAGTTCCTACATGAGTCCTTTGCAAGATGATGTTTCTTCTTGTCATTTCCATCTCTTAATATCCAACAACACACAACATTTACTGTTTGTTAGTACCTAAGTGGTGATCGCAGTTTTCCGCGAGTTTTGCCGTCTTGGAAGCACGTTAAAATGTGAGACCTTATGCCGTCGTTCTCTCATGTGGAAAATATTTCCTCTTATGATTCTCACAACCTTGTCAGTCCTTGTCTCCTGTTTTCCTAGGCAAACATTACTTATATATTGTGTTTAACGCAATTTGTAAGATTTTATCGAAAGTTTTATTGGACTGTTACCATATGTGGATATGTGTGGGTGTGTCCGGCGCTGCGCGCGCATATGCTATAACATGTGCGTATGTGTACGTTTATCTTGCCTTTATGTATAAAAATACGCACAGTAATCTCCTCCTCAGCCTCTAAGAGTCAATATACCTTGCTTCTCCGCATCTATAGGCCCCCATACTTATCATTTTTCCGTCATGAAATTAGTCAGACGGAGACGGCCGCAACCGTCTCCGCCGGGAGCAAACGACACTTGCGAGAGCCTCAAATTCAGACGGAAACGTAAAAATGGACGGAAAGGGAGCTATGTGATAGGGCCTTTGCGCATCCCGCGCCTTCCCGTCGCTCTCCTCCTACGCCCTATCCTCCTTCGCTACTCAACGAAGCCCGCGATGCGTGATGTGCTGGGAACCGGCGATCGGTGAGAATGGCTGGGGAGATGAGCTGGGCCCTGCTTTGGCGCCCTTTTTGCCCCTATTTGTGGTTGCGTGTTGTGTTTGTGTGGGTGCGTGTGGGTATGTAGATAGACGAATACGCAGACGGACAGATGGATAGATAAATACATACAGTACACAAATCCGATAGATTTAGGGAAAAATGTATACATCGCTAAACCACTAAATAGTAATAATATATTATATATATATATATATATATGTATAATATATATATATATATATATATAGTATATATATATAATATATATATGTAATATATATATATACTATATATAATAAGATATATATATATATATATATATATATATTATATATATATATATAATATATATATAGATATATATATATATATATGTATATAATATATATATATATTATATGCATATATAATAAGATTATAGATAGTATATATAGGATTAAGTATGATATATTTATAAAGAATATAAGTAGTATATATACCCTATAATAATTATTATAATATATATTATGATGGTGGTATTAGCCTACCTAGAACCAGTTCCACAACGGTTTTGACCGAACGAGAAGTTTTGATCAGAAGCAACCACCAGTTCAACTTCATATTTCACCAATCATGTAGTTTCATAAAGACCATCAAGGTGGCATAGATAGACATGGGGACTGGCGAGTCCTAACCAGTGTTACCGTTCTGAAGAAAAAAAAATAGTCTGGATAATAAGATAACTAGTAATATCTAGCAAGAAGACGTAGCTAGGATGCCCGTCTCTGCATCAATGCGGAATGAAATTCTTCGTCCATAAAACACTACTATAAAGGCGAAAATAAGGCAAACTGGAGAATTACCAAATAGCCCGTCCGGAGTGGTGAATATCGGTCTTTTTTTCCTTTTTCTGTTTTAGAATTCGCAACACTTTGGTCCTGGTGAGCTGATATCCTGCTCCTCGCCTTTTGTGAGTAGAAGTGCTCGAGTTAAGTAGCCACCATGTTTATCATAGATTGGTCATGATTCATCCATCCATTCATCCATCCTAATATATTTACATAGCTATGTGTGTGTGTGTGTGTGTGTGTGCGTGTGTGTGTGTGTGTGTGTGTGTGTGTGGTGTGTGGTGTGTGTGTGTGTGTGTGTGCATGCGTGCGTGTGTGCGTTTTTAAGTTTCCGTATGTGTGTGTCTCTACCCATGTATATAAGAAACAGCCGTCTATCCCCAATTACCGTTAATTTGTAAGAGTTTCCCCTCAATAAGTCGTTTTCCTTTTCAAATTTAGTGTCATGTAAAATAAGGGGATAACTATAGTATTTCTTACAACATTCGGTTTTACCAAGTCATCCTTTTATTAAGTGTAATACCGTGTTATGAACAATTCTACATTAAAACTAAGTTTTGTATTCGACCGTGTGTTTCCCATCATTATATGAATGATACTTTTTTTTTCTTTTTAGCTACTTAATATTACTTCTTTTGTGGTAGAACAGCCACACCTAAATCTTGCTACTTTCCTTATATTGTATACATATGGCTGTCAAAGACTTCCAAACCTACGGCTAAATCATGTTGTCATCCGTAATATTGACTTTCAGACACAGCGAATCTTGCAATTGTTCATAGCTTCATTTGAGCTCAACTTGTCTTTTTACTCTTTTTCGTTCGTAAATCATAATTTATTTTCATTGTCATAATTCTATCTTGTTGTGTGGTTGTGTGTGGTGTGTGTGTGTGTGTGTTGTGTGTGTGTGTGTGTGTGTGTGTGTGTGTGTGTGTGTGTGTGTGTGTGTGTGTGTGTGTGTGTGTGTGTGTTGTGTGTGTGTGTGTGTGTGTGTGTGTTGTGTGTGTGTGTGTGTGTGTGCGTGTGTGCGTGTGTGCGTGTGTGAGTGGCAACGTATATGTAGCGAGTGTGTATGATATTACTATTTTTTATTATTTTATCGTCATCATTATCATTATTATAAGAATAATAATAGCAATGATATTAATAATTATTGTCATTATTATCATTTCGTTATTATCATCATGAATAATCAATTATTATAATCATCAACATTATTGCTGTTATTATTGCTGGTATTATCACTATTATTGCGTTATTATTGCTGTATTATCACTATTATTGCTGTTATTATCATTATCATCATTGTTGTTGATATTATTACTATCAACATTATTATTATTACCATTATTGTTACTGTCATCTTCCTCATCACCACCATAATAATTTTATTTTTATCATGATTAGCATTATCAGTATCATTATCATGATCATTCTCATCAATATGATAATTTTACTTATATTCTTATTATCATAATTCCTTATATCATCATTATCTTTATCAGTGCCATTACGATTACCATTACCATTATTGATATCATCACAATTAACGACACCATTATCATTGTCAAAATCATCCTGTACCTCTTTATTTTCTAAACATTTCTTTGTGGTTCCGTGCGTACAGACTGATAAAATATACCCCCCCCCCCCGCCTTGTTCACCAGCCAGGGTACAGTTCATAGATATGAATATTAGATACGTATGCGTTACCATCTGCCCTCTCTTGTATACGATATTTTTTCTTTGTATCTTCTTTTTTTTCTTTGCTCCATATTATTTTACTTCTTTTTTTTATATATGTGTTTGTGTGTGTGTGTGAGTTTGTGTTTATGCGTATATGTATGTGTGTATATATATATACATATATACGAATGTATGTATATATGTATATATGCATGTATACACACACACATGCATATGTATGTGTGTGTGTGCCATAGGAAAGGGGTTTGAGAGAAAAACCAAACTTTTATCACAATTTATTCAGATCACCAAATGTTCGTTATCACTGAATACTTTTCAGTCCTGAACTCTAACTAAAGCAAAATTTTGCACGTGCAGAAGGTCGTCATTCCAGAAGCAGCAATCCGGAAGCGACGCCGAAGGCCCTCCGGCGCAGCGCCATCGCGTCCGGCTCTTGGACGTCGTCGACGGGGCGGAACCAGCACGGCAGCGGTTCTTACTGGTCCACGACGAACCACACCGTTCTCCGGTTCTTGTACTTCATGGGGGAATCGTAGCCAGCTCTGCGAACGGTAAAGTTGGTGTTTTTACTTCAATATGTTCCTCGTTGTCCATTCTCTTTATTACGTTGGAATATACGGGAAATATATATGTCTTCAAAACCATTTTTCTGGGAGTCAAAGAGGACATTGGTAGAAGATTCAAGTGTTTTTCTATGGATGTATTACCATTTACAACCTAGTGGCATTTCAATTAATCCTCTAACATTAACAATTATCAGTATTCCATATCTCTTTTATTCTTTCTTCCTTCCCTTATTTTTTGGGGGGATGGGATAAGGAGGAAGCACTGGACGGTCGCAATATAAAGTGAAAAAGCTGTCGGACAAGCCACGATATGGGAGCATTTTTTGCCAACGCATGATGTTGTTCTTACCCGTAGAAACGTGTGTAGTCGACGCCTGTTCCCGGCGGCTTTGAGGTCGCGTTCCAGGTCGTCTTTACGAGTGACCCATTCTCGCATCTTGCTCACCCAGCCGCCGAAGGTTCTGCAAAAACGAAAAAAAGGAAGAGTTGGAGTAATGATGTATGGAAATACATTACCAAGTACACGTTTTCTTAAGCGTCTAACGAGGGAAAAAATAGTCTTTAATTTTCCTATCAGTACCGCGGGTGTTCTGCTCTGCAGGATATACCATGAGGATTGCGTTTCCTTATCGACTCTTCCGTGATTTTCATGATGGTTTTACGAATCAGTTTTTAACAGATAATTGGTAGGGTTTTGGCTCTATCCCGCCTATCTCATTCTCTCTCTCTATCTATCTACCTATCTCTTTCCCTTTCTCCTTCTTTCTGTTGCTGCTGCTATTATTACCGACACTAGTATGCTCTGCCTAATTACAGTCAGCAACGACAGACAACGATAAGGGCGAAGATAACGATCCCAATCAGACTAAAATCGACGGTGGTGACAACACCAATGATGCGCTTACAACCCTTCCCTCACCTCCCCACAGGAGCCACCCTCACCTGGCTGCCACGGTAAGGCGTGGGCGGACCTCAATGTAGACGTTGGGGTCAGTGGGCTTGGGCGGCTCGAGCTGATGGGCGGCCGGGATGTAGAAGCACATCTGGTACCTGTTGGCGTCGCCGTCAAGGGGCTCCTCCATCATGGTGACGGGGGCGGTCATGTTGATGGGTTTGGCCTTTGGGAAGGAGGGGTGAGGAGGACAGGCAGGGGGTAAAAAGAAGGGAATGATATACCATGCGTGTGTGTGGCACCGGGAGGGAAACTGTAAGTCTGACAGATATGTAGAAACGCATATACACATATATGAACTTGCATACGCATATATGTGTATCTTACAAGCCCGCACCCGCACACACACACACACAACAAAAACAAACAAGCAAAAAACGTACAGCTAAAGTGCAAATGAAAATTAATGGTTCCACATAACAGGATTTCAAACTTACATTTCAACATAACATGATCATCATGTAGTCCTGGAGCCATAACAAATCAAGAATTTTACATTCACTGTGGAGTTATAAACCCCACACACCATTTTCTGATGTGAATGGTGAATTATGAAACCAGTCATGACAAACTATTTTCGTCAGTGGACGAAATTACTACGAAATCTTTGGTGACATTTACGTCAGAGCAAAATCTTACTGAATCGTTCATTGCAGCGAATAATGAATTATACTGAAGCACACACGAAGCACCATTGCAGCCTTACCATTCATCTTCTTTTATACCATGTTCTACGGCGAAGAAATGTCACACTGAAGCAGACGCACAGCCTTACCTGTTTTCACTCACTTTCCTTCTCGCCTCAACAATGAACAGTGAATCATAACGAAGCACCAAAGCAACCTTAACCATCAGCATTCACTTCCTTCACGCCAGCCTCTACAAGGACCAACGGATCCTAACGAAACCCCGTCACAGCCTCACCCTTCTCGTTCTCGCCCGTGATGTAGCCGAAGAGCTTCATGAAGCTGGTGTACATCTTGGGCCGCTTTCGCATCTCGTCGTGGCACGCCCACTTGGCCGACTCGTACACCCTCAGCTCGTACGACTGGGCGGGAGAAGGAGGCTTTAGTGGGCGTGGCTTAGAGTTTCCGGTGGATAGTGGAGGTGGGCGTTAGGTTTTACATAAAGGTCTTCTCTTCATCCGTGTACTTTCTCTCTCTCTCTCTCTCTCTCTCTCTCTCTCTCTCTCTCTCTCTCTCTCTCTCTCTCTCTCTCTCTTATCTCTCTCTCTCTCTTTTTTTTTATCTCACTCTCACTCTCATTCACTCACTCTCTCTCTCTCTCTCTTACTCTGTTTCTCACCTTATCTACGATCAATACAATAAAATTCTCACCCCAGCATCTTTAATAACAGTATACGGTGCAATCTCCTCCGGTTCTGCGTCGTCCAGATCCTGAGATAAAAAAGTAACTCATTAAATTATCTTCATGGAGATTAATACTAACTTCACATATCCTCATTCTCCTCATTATTTATTCTTACTTGCATTGACGCATATTCCACGCTAATGGAAAGATTTAAAGAAAATTTAAGAAAGGAAATAAAACTCACGAAGGCTAGAGTGACAGCCAGCACGGCTAGGCAGACAAGTAGCTTCTTCATGATCTGGAAAAATAATTATCATTATTAATATTATAATTACTGCTATTTCATTAGCATTATTGTTATTGTTATTATTTTCCTTATCATTATCATCTGCATCATTATCACCGTTCTTATTATTATTTCCAATATCATTATAGTTATTGTTATTGTTGTCCTATTTTCATTATTATTATTATTATCATTATCAATATCATCAGCATTATCATATTTGTGTGTATGTGTGTGTGTGCATGAATAAGTTTGTACGTGAATGTTTTAGCGTTTTTGTGTGGTTGTTTACACTGTATATATACATGTGTGTGTGAGTGGCATATTGAGATGGAGATATATTACAAAAGACACCAACAAAGAAACAAATTTAGATAGCCATCTTGGAACGCAGAATATGCAGCCAAATTTGATTTCGAAACTGAAATATATAAATTAATTCCCCGAATGAATAAGCAATAGGTCTAGATATGGTGCAGCTTGAGATTTCAAAAGACATCTAGAAGGACGATCGAGGAGGAAGACCTGAATCCTGAATTGATAATAGTGTTTAGTAAAGCCGCAGATGAAGTAGGAAGAGCAAATAAATTCGAAAATAACGGTCAAGGTTTGCAAACGAGGAGGAATAAGCAACTGAAAACAAGCAGATTAGAGCAGATATAGATGGATGAAAAAAGGAGAAAAAAAGAAAATGAGCGTGCGTCTCTCTATATATACATGTGAGGAGAAACACAAGAATTGGCCAGCCGTAAACTGACGTCAGAGAAAGGGCGAAGGACCTCATTTAAAAGGCTAAATAGGACAAAGTCGGAAAAGAAGATGCAGAGAAAAGAAATTAAAAAAGAGGATGATAAATTCAGCAAAATAACGCTATATGAATATGCTGGATTGAAAATAAATCCGACAACAGAGACTGCATTTACCTGTTAAAGAAAGCAACAGTTACAATGTGCCTTGAGTTAGACTATTTGCTTTCCTTTCGTAAATTGAAAGCACGACTTCCAGAAACATGATGCAATGCGGTTCTCACTCTGACTCACAAGGAAGGAGCTCGGGAGATATTGCGTCATTTCGCTTACTATCAAAACCTGCAGACGCTGGTCTCGAAAGTTCCCACGAACAGATTCAGTGATCTCGTTCTCTCTCTCTATGTATGTGTGTGCGTGCGTGCACATGGTCTTTCTGTCTTACCTTCAAATCCTTTGGTTTCCCGGCCTGTGACTGAGCATTCCCCTGAAGTCCTTATATATCCTTTCCCTTTCCTCCCCCCGCCTCCAACCTTCCCATTTACTCTCCATCCCCCCCCCCTCCGAAGTCAGTGTTCACGACAACGCCTAATTGCCTGCTCTCCTCCCGTGTTTCCTGCCCTGTGTGCGCTGCTTATGCAACGGCGATTTTAACATCTACCGGCGCATTGCATATGTAAGACGCACGGGATCCTGTTCAGAGGAAAATTCTAGATGTATTTTCTCTTTTGTTTGGTTTGCGCACACACACACACACACACACACACACACACACACACACACACACACACACACACAGCACACGCACAGGAAAATTCTAGATGTATTTTCTCTTTTAGCTGTTTGGTTAGTTTCACATACACACACACGCGCGCGCAGACACACACATATATATAGCTTTGTATCAACTAATTATCCATGGCCAGGGGTCCCGCACTATTAACTCCCTTTTTACTGGCAAGGGACACGTCTGAGCCTGATGTACCTCTTAAGTACAGTTCCCTTTGAGATGTGGCAGCGTGAAGTACAACTTGGGGGCAAGTTCTAGCGCGTCTCTCCTTAACGTTTAGATTAATCAATCTTAAGTGATCAAAAAAATAAAACATTGGAAAATACTAATAGATGAAACCAGGTAACACAAAGTAATACTTTGTCCCTATAATTGTTGTCACCTGCCGTGAACAAATAAAAGTAAATTCAAAGTGAAGTGCTATGCTAAAGCCTTTCGTTAAAAGCTGGATAAGAAGGGAGGAATCCTTAGTGATCCTCAAGCAAAAGGCCTTTAGATAATGATTAAAAAAACACGGCAGTTTAGAAGCGCTAAAGCTTCATCTCGAAAGAAAATGAAAAAGGCTAAAAGCAAGCAAAAGCACAGAAAAAATAAAATAAGCACATCATGTCCTGAGAGGATAGTAAATAAAAAAGATAAAAGTAAAGCTAATGAAATATAACTTAAGGCATCACAGTGTTGTTGTAGCTCTGACAACCGGCGTTCTCAGGTCAAAAGGGGTAATAGTGGCACTGGCCGGCTGACTATTTGGCGGGAAAATTGGGTCTTACATATACATTCTGTGACGTCATCAGTCACGTAAAATAATACAACGTAAAACCAGATTGCAATCTAAAAATAGCAGGTGGAATGTCGTAACATATATTAAGAGAAAAAATACAAATAAGAGGGAATAAAAACAATTTAGATGGAATTAAATACGACATTTAAAAGGCGTAGTCCCTTCACCCCAAGATGAGTCAGCAAGCAATGTATCTTACGATATGAATTGTAAGAAAGAAATACCTGTAGGTGAAAAACGGTATCTTAAAATTCAGTTAGATAACCAATAACAACTAGTAATACAGACAGTAAAAGCGAGTGTATATATAAAAGCACAAAAACAAGCTAAAAACAGGCAGGACAGATGAATTGAGAAAAAAACGACAATGGTATAACGAAGACGCGACTCTGAGTGACACATCTGGGGGCGCGAGCGGTGCTGAAGAGGTACAAAGTGTCCTTACCAGTAAAAGCAAAGGGAGTTGCTAGTACGGGACACCTGGCCATGGATACGTAGTTCATACAAAACTATATATATATATATAATATATATATATATATATATATATATATATATATATATATATATATATATATACATATATATATTATGAGTGTATGTACGCGTGTGTGTAGAGAGAGAGACGCTCAAGCAATACGAATAACACTTACCTATAAGACAAAGAAACAAATGAAACAACTAAAAAGAAAAATACCTCCAGAATCGAATACGCAATGCGCCGGTAGAGGTTAAAATGGCCGTTGCATAAGCAGCGCACACAGGGCAGGAAACACGGGAGGAGAGCAGGCAATTACGCGTTGTCGTGAACACTGACTTCGGAGAGGGGGGGGGGGGGAGGGGGGAGGTAGGAGGGGGATAGTGGAAGTTGTATGGGAGAGGAGGAAATGGGGAGGTTGGAGGGAGGATTGGGGAGGGGAAAAGGGGGAAGGGGAAAGAGGGGTGGTTGGAGGGAGAAGTGGGTTGAGGTGAGGTAAGGTGTAGAAGAGGGGGAGGGGGCATTAGTGATATGGAGAAAGAGGGTTGGATGGGATGGGACAGGAAAAGGGGAGGAGGAAGAATAGAATGAGAAGCAGAGGGAGGGAGATGAGGGGGAGGGAGAGGGGAAGTAGGAGGAGTCGAAGCTATCAGGATATATAAGGACTTCAGGGGAATGCTCAGTCACAGGCCGGGAAACCAAAGGATTTGAAGGTAAGACAGAAAGACCATGTGCACGCACGCACACACGCACACACATACACAGAGAGAGAGAACGAGATCACTGAATCTGTTCGTAGGAACTTTCGAGACCAGCGTCTGCAGGTTTTGATAGTAAGCGAAATGACGCAATATCTCCCGAGCTCCTTCCTTGTGAGTCAGAGTGAGAACCGCATTGCATCATGTTTCTGGAAGTCGTGCTTTCAATTTACGTAAAAGGAAAGCAAATAGTCTAACTCAAGGCACATTGTAACTGTTGCTTTCTTTAACAGGTATGTTAATATGCAATCTCTCTTGTGGGATTTATTTTTAATCCAAGCATATTCATATAGCGTTATTTTGCTGAATTTATCATCCTCTTTTTAATTTTCTTTTCTCTGCATCTTCTTTTCCGACTTTGTCCTATTTAGCCTTTTAAATGAGGTCCTTCGCCCTTTCTCTGACGTCAGTTTACGGCTGGCCAATTCTTGTTTCTCCTCACATGTATATATAGAGAGACGCACGCTCATTTTCTTTTTTTTCTCCTTTTTTCATCCATCTATATCTGCTCTAATCTGCTTGTTTTCAGTTGCTTATTCCTCCTCGTTTGCAAACCTTGACCGTTATTTTCGAATTTATTTGCTCTTCCTACTTCATCTGCGGCTTTACTAAACGCTATTATTAATTCAGGATTCAGGTCTTTCTCCTCGATCGTCCTTCTAGATGTCTTTTGAAATCTCAAGCTGCACCATATCTAGACCTATTGCTTATTTATTCGGGGAATTAATTGACATATTTCAGTTTCGAAATCAAATTTGGCTGCATATTCTGCGTTCCAAGATGGCTATCTAAGTTTGTTTCTTTGTTGGTGTCTTTTGCAATATATCTCCATCTCAATATGCCACTCACACACATGTATATATACAATGTAAACAACCACACAAAAACGCTAAAACATTCACGTACAAACTTATTCATGCACACACACACACACAAATGCTGATAATATTGATAATGATAATAATAATAATAATAATGAAAATAGGACAACAATAACAATAACTATACCGATATTGGAAATAATAATGATAACAGTGATAATGATGCAGATGATAATGATAAGGAAAATTATAACAGTAACAATAATACTACTGAAATAGCAGTAATGATAAAATTGGTAATGATAATTATTTTTGCAGATCATGAAGAAGCTACTTGTCTGCCTAGCCGTGCTGGCTGTCACTCTAGCCTTCGTGAGTTTTATTTCCTTTCTTAAACTTTCTTTAAATCTTTCCATTAGCGTGGAATATGCGTCAATGCAAGTAAGAATAAATAATGAGGAGAATGAGGATATGTGAAGTTAGTATTAATCCTCATGAAGATAATTTAATTATACTTTTTTATCTCAGGATCTGGACGACGCAGAACCGGAGGAGATTGCACCGTATACTGTTATTAAAGCTGGGTGAGAATTTTATTTACTTGTATCGATCGTATAGGTGAGAAACAGAGTAAGAGAGAGAGAGAGAGAGAGAGAGAGAGAGAGAGATGAGAGTAGAGAGAGAGAGAGAGAGAGAGAGAGAGAGAGAGAGAGAGAGAGAGAGAGAGAGAGAGAGAGAGAGAGAGAGAGAGAGAGAGAGAGAGAGAGAGAGAGAGAGAGAGAGAGAGAAAGTACACGGATGAAGAGAAGACCTTTATGTAAAACCTAACGCCCACCTCCACTATCCACCGGAAACTCTAAGCCACGCCCACTAAAGCCTCCTTCCCCGCCCAGTCGTACGAGCTGAGGGTGTACGAGTCGGCCAAGTGGGCGTGCCACGACGAGATGCGAAAGCGGCCCAAGATGTACACCAGCTTCATGAAGCTCTTCGGCTACATCACAGGCGAGAACGAGAAGGGTGAGGCTGTGACGGGGTTTCGTTAGGATCGTTGGTCCTTGTAGAGGCTGGCGTGAAGGAAGTGAATGCTGATGGTTAAGGTTGCTTTGGTGCTTCGTTATGATTCACTGTTCATTGTTGAGGCGAGAAGGAAAGTGAGTGAAAACAGGTAAGGCTGTGCGTCTGCTTCAGTGTGACATTTCTTCGCCGTAGAACATGGTATAAAAGAAGATGAATGGTAAGGCTGCAATGGTGCTTCGTGTGTGCTTCAGTATAATTCATTATTCGCTGCAATGAACGATTCAGTAAGATTTTGCTCTGACGTAAATGTCACCAAAGATTTCGTAAGTAATTTCGTCCACTGACGAAAATAGTTTGTCATGGCATGACTGGTTTCATCATAATTCACCATTCACATCAGAAAATGGTGTGTGGGGTTTATAACTCCACAGTGAATGTAAATTCTTGCTTTGGCATGGCTCCAGGACTACATGATGATCATGTTTTGTTGAAATGTAAGTTTGAAATCCTGTTATGTGGAACCATTAATTTTCATTTGCACTTTAGCTGTACGTTTTTTGCTTGTTTGTTTTTGTTGTGTGTGTGTGTGTGCGGGTGCTGGCTTGTAAGATACAACATATATGCGTATGCAATTTCACATATGTTTATATGCGTTTCTACATATCTGTCAGACTTACAGTTTCCCTCCCGGTGCCACACACACACGCATGGTATATCATTCCCTTCTTTTTACCCCCCTGCCTGTCCTCCCCCCCTCCTTCCCAAAGGCCAAACCATCAACATGACCGCCCCCGTCACCATGATGGAGGAGCCCCTTGACGGCGACGCCAACAGGTACCAGATGTGCTTCTACATCCCGGCCGCCCATCAGCTCGAGCCGCCCAAGCCCACTGACCCCAACGTCTACATTGAGGTCCGCCCACGCCTTACCGTGGCAGCCAGGTGAGGGTGGCTCCTGTGGGGAGGTGAGGGAAGGGTTGTAAGCGCATCATTGGTGTTGTCACCACCGTCGATTATAGTTTGATTGGGATCGTTATCTTCGCCCTTATCGTTGTCTGTCGTTGCTGACTGTAATTAGGCAGAGCATACTAGTGTCGGTAATAATAGCAGCAGCAACAGAGAGAAGGAGAAAGGGAAAGAGATAGGTAGATAGATAGATAGATAGAGAGAGAGAATGAGATAGGCGGAATAGAGCCAAAACCCTACCAATTATCTGTTAAATAACTGATTCGTAAAACCATCATGAAAATCACGGAAGAGTCGATAAGGGAAACGCAATCCTCATGTTATATCCTGCCAGAGCAGCAACACCAGCGGTACTGATAGGAAAATTAAAGACTATTTTTTCCCTCGTTAGACGCTTAAGAAAACGTGTACTTGGTACTGTATTTCCATACATCATTACTCCAACTCTTCCCTTTTTCGTTTTTGCAGAACCTTCGGCGGCTGGGTGAGCAAGATGCGAGAATGGGTCACTCGTAAAGACGACTTGGAACGCGACCTCAAAGCCGCCGGGGAACAGGGCGTCGACTACACACGTTTCTACGGGTAAGAACAACATCATCCGTTGGCAATAATTGCTCCCATATCGTGGCTTGTCCGACAGCTTTTTCACTTTATATTGCGACCGTCCAGTGCTTCCTCCTTATCCCATCCCCCCAAAAAATAAAGGAAGGAAGAAAGAATAAAAGAGATATGGAATTCTGATAATTGTTAATGTTAGAGAATTAATTGAAATGCCACTAGGTTGTAAATGGTAATACATCCATAGAAAAACACTTGAATCTTCTACCAATGTCCTCTTTGACTCCCAGAAAAATGGTTTTGAAGACATATATATTTTCCCGTATATTCCAACGCAATAAAGAGAATGACAACGAGGAACATATTGAAGTAAAAACAATACAACTTTACCGTTCGCAGAGCTGGCTACGATTCCCCCATGAAGTACAAGAACCGGAGGAACGAGGTGTGGTTCGTCGTGGACCAGTAAGAACCGCTGCCGTGCTGGTTCCGCCCCGTCGACGACGTCCAAGAGCCGGACGCGATGGCGCTGCGCCGGAGGGCCTTCGGCGTCGCTTCCGGATTGCTGCTTCTGGAATGACGACCTTCTGCACGTGCAAAATTTTGCTTTAGTTAGAGTTCAGGACTGAAAAGTATTCAGTGATAACGAACATTTGGTGATCTGAATAAATTGTGATAAAAGTTTGGTTTTTCTCTCAAACCCCTTTCCTATGGCACACACACACATACATATGCATGTGTGTGTGTATACATGCATATATACATATATACATACATTCGTATATATGTATATATACACACATACATATACGCATAAACAAAACTCACACACACACAAACACATATATAAAAAAAGAAGTAAAATGATATGGAGCAAAGAAAAAAACAAGATACAAAGAAAAAATATCGTATACAAGAGAGGGCAGATGGTAACGCATACGTATCTAATATTCATATCTATGAACTGTACCCTGGCTGGTGAACAAGGCGGGGGGGGGGGGGGTATATTTTATCAGTCTGTACGCACGGAACCACAAAAAATGTTTAGAAATAAAGAGGTACAGGATGATTTTGACAATGATAATGATGTCGTTAATTGTGATGATATCAATAATGGTAATGGTAATCGTAATGGCACTGATAAAGATAATGATGATATAAGGAATTATGATAATAAGAATATAAGTAAAATTATCATATTGATGAGAATGATCATGATA